GTATAAACACTTCTCAGGCAAGAACTGGAAAAGTGATATTTTCTGTTGGGGCTGAGATACACTGAAGCAAATGAACTAGGATGAACTCCTGGTGATGGCGAGGAGGATCATGACACAAACTCACTTTCAAGTAGATGACAGCATCTGTTCCAAAGCCCTCCATGGAAAAAAGTTGAAGGTCACCTTGGAAATACTTGGCATAGAGTCGGGAAATAGGCAGCCCATAGCCAAAGCCAGCCTAGTTTGAGGAGGAAGGAAAAGACAGAGAAAACTTGGTTGCATATATCTCCAAAACTGGTTGTACCTATGTTTCTCCAACCCAGTTGGCATCCAGGCTCCTTTGACCTCCTGCCCAACAACATAAAGGATAATATGAATTGGAATGGCCAAGACAAAAGGAAACTTTGATTGGATCTGCAATAAAAACCATTAAAATACAAGGGAATAGGTTCTAATTCTGATTTGAGAAGAACTACAGGCTTCCCTCACCTTCTGACATCTTGCTTTCCAACAAGATCTAAGTTATATCCATGTACTGCACTTCCAACATGTGGTCTGTTATTTTTCACCATGCACTACCCCCCCCCCCACACACACATTGTCTCCCTCAATCAACATGGAACCATTTAGTGTTCAATCTTGCATTTGTAAATTTTTTTAAAAAATCTGTTTTTCAAACTTTTCTAGGTTCTGAGAGTGCCATGGTCCCTAACTTCAAATATCTGGGGAGTGGCCTATACTCAAAATGTTTAACCAACCCATTCTTTGTTGTTGCCTTGATCAACGCTGCCTTCTAAACCTAGCACTAGCCTTATTGAGGGAAAAGAACAAAGCATGATCCTTTTGCTCAGTCTGCAGCATAGTTAAGCACAAGGCAAGTAAGGTAAGAAGAATCCCACAGAAGGAAAAGGATGTATGTCCTCTCCCAGAAGTGATGCTTGAGTCTAAACAGCAGCATGAATAATACAACAAATTTTCCCTTCACCCTTGCCACCACATCACTGATCTCTCAAATGACATGTGTTATGTGAAATGCCCTGTCTTCTCCTTGTAGTCTTTCCAGATTAAAGAAGAGATTTCCAATAATCACACTCACCTTTTCGTCACATACTGTATATACTCGAAG